AATATGGATCTCTTCCAGTCAGTTGGCCAGGTAGCTGTCCTCCAAATCTCTTGGCATAACTGAGTGAGCGCCTCCAATGGGGCATCTGTTTGTTGAACATGGTTGTAGTGTTTGTATATAACCTATGCAAATCTTCCTGTATATTTTAAATCATCTCTAGATTACTTCTACCTAATATAATGTAAATGTTATGTAAACAGCACTTCACACTCCCTCTTCACCTTTGAAGGATTGCTTTGATCATTTAATTGATTTTGTTATTGCTGTTGTTATTGTTTACTTCCAGGGGCCTACTGTGCTGCCATGACCTTTGGGGCTGTTAGTAGACATGAGGTTTCTGTGGGGTATGGTGATTCTTAGACAAGGTGAGTCCCACACCCACTGATGTGGATCTCATTTCCTTGCACTTGGCTGTCCCCCAAGAAAATGGATCACTGAAAGCCAGGTAGTGTTGGAAGGAACACTTGATGCAGCCTTGCTGGCAAGCTGGTATCTGAGTAGACTGAAGCTAACTGTGCCTATGATAGTCTTGTGGGTCTTAGTGTCTAGAAAACTAAGATGGCCTTCCAGGGTGTGGCACAATCTCTGTGCCTTGGCTTATACTATTCCTTCCTCCTGGCAAACTCTCTTCCAAGAACAGCTGATGGTCTGACACCAGTTCTTGAGTAGAGGAACATTCCATTTGTTTCTCACTATCCAGCTTGAATGCCTCTTTCCAGAAATCTCTCTAATATGCCACCAACTGAAATCTCTGCCTCCTCTGTGTCTCTCCAGCACTGTTAGTACTTCATTCACATTCTGTTTTGTGATGGAATTACTTGCATCTATGCTAAAAAGTAATAATATTAACATTACATTCACTGAACATTTAATATGTGGCAGACACTGCATTAAGAGGGCTACATGCATTCTTTCATTTAATGCTCAGAAAATCCTATAAGAAAGGCACTATTATAATTCCCACCTCATAGATGAGGGAACTGAGGCTCAGTCATATGGCTAGTTAGGATCCCTGACTCTAGTCAAGTTTCCCAAATGCAGAGACAACATCCACGGCATCTCCAGATACCCCACAGAGCTCAGCACAGGGCTGTGGACAAAGTATGTACTTGGTAAAATATGTGGTAAACAAATGGAATGAATTATGGAAATGAGAAGTAAGGAAGAGAAGAGAGGAAGGGAGAAAGCACATCAAGTGCCTGGCTAATCTAAACATTGGCTAGAGACAGTCAATCTCATGTGGACCTAGCCCAAGGTCTTCCTCAATTTGGGAGTTCCTAGAAGGGCCAACATTAGCACTGCCCTATTTGGTAAACAATATTGCAAATCTCT